AATTCACTCACAGACGCGCCTCCCGCCTGATTTTCCCCCCATAGTTAGGACTCAGGAGCCCAAAAGTGAAGGCAGTTACAGGTTCGAGGATGACCTGCTCGGATTAGAAACATAAAGTGCGGGCCCCATAGGGAGAGGGCTCCCGCTTGAGACTTCCTCGCAATTCACTCACAGACGAGCCTCCCGCTTGAGACTTCCTCCAGAGTCAGGCCTCAAATGCCCAACAGTGACGACAGTTACAGGTTCGAGGATGGCCCGCTCGGATTAGACACATGAAGTGCGAACCCCATTGGGAGGGGTTCCCGCCCGAGACTCCCTCACGCTTTACTCACAGACGACGCTCCCGCTCGAGACTTCCTCCGTATTCAGGCTAGGGGGTGAGTGGTGACGAAGTGATGAGTGAGCGAGTGATGATGATGAGTGGTGATGACGATGCTGCTGCTGCTGCTGCTGATGCTGATGATGATGATGATGCTGATGATGATGATGATGATGATGCTGATGATGATGATGATGATGATGCTGCTGATGATGATGATGATGATGATGATGATGATGATGACCGATGGTGATGATGTCCGATGAATGGGTGAATGCGTGAGTGAGGCGGAGAGTGGGAAGGAGGTTCCTGCGCCGAGGATGTCCAACGAAAACAAGAACCCCACTTTGGATGTGGGGAGAACGACAAAGACATAATCGATCGTCGATTCCTTAGAAAGTATGGGAAGCTATGGGAAGTGGGGGGAAGACGAACACCCAGAAACATGGAACATATGGGGAATCCTGGGATTCGTGTGTACTTATTTGAGTGTCCCTGGGCCCCCCTCACTACTGCAGGACTTCCCCGAGGGGTAGTGGGTGCTCCTGCGCAGCGCGGGGCCCACCACTCTGTTGGGCGCTCCACCTCTGGCGTAGGGCAATCCACCCCACAGGCACCAGTTAGCAAGTGCGGGCGCGCTTTTGCACTCGTCCCAACTTGACAGGGTCATGCCGCCTTCAGTGCCCAGGCGTTGTCTACAAGTCTCCGTCCGCCCTTAGCCCGAAGTGTATCCCTTGGAAGTGGACACTGGTGGTGGGAGGACATGCGCCTCCTCTCGTCTCTTGTCCTTCTCCTCGTGCTCCTCGTCGTTTTCCTCCCACCCCTCGCCTACCGGTCCCTTCTCGCTTCTGCTGCTGCTCCTTTTCCTGTTCCCCGTGCCCCTCCTCCCCCTCGCCTACCGTTCCCTTCTCGCTTCTGCTGCTGCTCCTTTTCCTGTTCCCCGTGCCCCTCCTCCCCCCTTCTCTCTTCTTCCACATTCGTATCCGCTCTCTACACCCAAGACCTGCTAAAACAACCCGTTGTCGTCGTCCTCCTCCTCCTCCTTTTCCTCTTTCTTGCCGTCCTCCTCGTCGTCCTTCTCCTCATCCATTCCTTTTCCTTATAACCAACTTTTGACTCTTCGCTTATCCCCACCAGCCCATCATATACGATCGCCAGGTCCGTTGCCTTGATGAGGACAGCCTAGAAGCATACGGTGCGACAGCCACCTTGGATGCCTTTCGGGTGTGTGTGTGTGTGGAGGGCGGGAACATTTGTTGTATGAGTCGTCAAAAGGTAGCCGAGCATTTTCTTTGGGTGGAGGGCAAAGGGTGACATCTGAAATCCCGCTTCGATGGATTTTCGAGGCTTGAATCTGCAAAAGGTGAATCAGAAGCCGGTTTGCATATCGAGATGCCAAAGCTCATACGGATTTCACCCTGAGCCCTCCACCCGAAGGAAATGCTCAGGTTAGGTTGAACAGGTCGACCTGGCGTCATTTTGGCTCTATGGGGTCTTCTTGGTGTCCTCTTCGGCACATGTTAACCTGCCACGGTCATATCATCGGGGAGGTTCTCCTGCACCACCATGCTGCCAATGCTGGTCCGAACGGGTTTCCAAACACG